GGAGAATCATGGCATCTGCCTGACTCTGCTTTCTTTCTCCCAGCACTCTGTTCAGTATACTCTGCCTATCTAAGCTGCTGTCCTATCAAAAGGTCAAGGCAGTTTCTTTATTTGACCAATGAAAGTAACACATAGAAAGCCATCCTACTCCAACTTCAGGGAAGAAATTTGGTATTTAAAGATATTTGTTTACAGTTACAATTAAAATGAGGTCACAGAGAATCTCTATAACCTTGGTATGATAGACTAGACCCTGTTTCCACGACATATCTGCCTTTTAAATTTCAGTCCAATTTCTTTTCAAATCATTCTTAACCTTGACAAGTGTCAATGAGTCTCACCTAATTCTCTTTAAAATGAAGTTACTGTGCTGCTTGAAACCTAGTTGTTTTTCCACTAATGCATCATTTTCCATTCCACAGAAGGCATCTGTGATCTGGTCCCTTTTGACTACAGCACAGCAATCACACTATACTTCTGCCTTCCAAATTTTCTGCATGACTTCCTCCGTTGCATGCTGTCTTTTTTAGTCTATCTATTCAACCAAATCTCCCTTCCAGATTACCTTCCCCAGAATACTGCCCCCCCCCGCCACTTAGACTTCTTGAAATTTGCTCATCAGTTTGATACCAGGCTCTTAAGTAGAATCGTCCTTCTGTCATAAGGTTGGTGTGCTAGTCCTATCTTTCCAAACCCAGATGAGGTGATCAATTATAAATTGTATCTTAAAACACCATATATCTTTTCCCTGGTAACTTTACACTAGCAAGCTTTTGGAAAATGGATGTAGGAAAAACATACTCCCCACCACCCCCTTTACCTCTTAAAATAGGACAAACTATAGATTTATAGCAGTGTTTAAGATTAAATTATCAAATAGTCACAGTCATTTCCTTTTAAAGGGAGGCATATATTGTGATAATCATACAAGAAACTAATTTATATTATAAAGCGTACTTTAAGGAATTACACTGACACGACTTTGATCATGTTATGAAATTGTGTGTGTTGTGCACATGTGGAAGCTAGAGGTCAACAGTTTCCTCTATTGCTCTTTACCTTATTGAGGGTCCTGGGGACCCACCTACCTGTGAACCCTCACCATCTCAGCCCTGGAATTACAGACATGCAGTGCAGTATGTGCTCTTCTACATGGATGCTAAAGATCGAAATTTAGGTCTTCATGCTTGCACAGGAAGTACTTTTCTCAATAAAGCACTTCCTCCATTTAATTTTGTCTTTTAAGCAATTTAACATGTTTTGATGACATTAGTATCTACAATTTACAATACTAAGACAAGAGACCTAAAAATATGATACTAAGTATCTTTGCAAATGCTATTTTTCTAAGTTCTCTGGGCTTTAGAGTTATTCTCACATTCTTGATTATCACACAACTGTGGTGTCCATTGAACTATGATTATTTTAAAATTTATTGAACTTTATTTTATATGCATTAGTATGAAGGGGTCAGATCCCCTGGAACTGGAGTTAGCGACAGTTGTGAGCTGCCACATGGGTGCTGGGAATTAAACACAGGTCCTCTGGAAGAGCAGTCCATGCTCTAACACTGAGCTATCTCTCCAGCCCCCAGCTACTCTGATTTTTTAACCTCCAATTCTATTATTCAGTTGTGTTAAGACAGTACTTCATTTAGCAATGATAAATTAAGATATAGCCTAATGCTCTATTGAGAGGTTCTGAGGGACAAAGGACATGGATAGTAAGCTTCTGCCCACCCTGGAAGAGGTTAGCAAACCTGAAGATTCAAAGATTAACTGGGTGTTTGTCAGAAAATTTACCAAGTACTTGGCAAAAAGAATAGTTACTTTAAGCTACATTAACCCTGTGATTGGTATGCTCTAAATATTATGGTTCTGAACCAACATCAAAACCATCTATCTGGTGAGAGAGATAACTCAGCAGTTAAATGCACTTGACTGCACTTCCAGTGGTCCTGAATTCAATTCCCAGCTACCACAACGTGGCTCACAACCATCTGTAATGGAATCAAGTTCCTTCTTCTGGTGTGCATGAAGACAGAGCCCTTATATACATAAAATACATAAACAACCCTTTTATAAAAAAGCCATCTATCTGCATGCTGAATAGATCAGTGGTTAGTATAAATACCAGGTTAGTATAAAAATAAGTCACACGTACGGAAAAAGCTTGCTTAATGGAACAAAGTCAACTATTCAAGAAAAGCAAAGTTTCTGTCAAACATGTTTTGGTGTGTTTGGGTGGATACAAAACCTATCTATCTAACTTGGTCTGAGTTGTGGTAATATTAGGAAGGATCATAGCTTAACTATAAATGAAATAGGAAAGTCTAATGCATTTTATTAACTTTAAGCTCTATTTTTTCTTTTTTCTGAGACAGGGTTTCTCTGTGTAGCCCTGGCTATCTTGGAACAGTCTGTAGACCAGTTGGCCTCAAACTCCAAGATCCATATGCCATGTGCTACCATGTCTGACGAACAGGGCCTTTCTACATAACTCTAGCTGTCATGAACCTTAGTAGACTGGGCTGTCTCCTGAGTGCTTAGAAATAAGGAAGGCACTACTACCTTGGTTCTTTGTAAGGGTTTGTGTGTGTGTATACAAATCACAAAAGTAAAAAAAAAAAAAAATACTCTACCGAGTTACATCCCTAAACCTTTTTACAGATATTTACAAAAATTCTTTCATCCAGTCTTCATAACTCTATATTGTCAAATGTTCCTACTTTACAAATCACAGGGATGAACTGAAAGGCTGAAGGTACTTGATACAAAGATCTAAAACTGGAAACCCAGTCAGTGGGTTGCCTTTTTGTCTTAGTGACAGTGTCCCATTTATAGTCATCCTCCTGGATATTAACCTTCATCAGGCAATGAAAGGAGACAGAGACCCACATTGGAGCACCGGACAGAAATCTCAAGGTCCAAATCAGGAGCAGGAGAGAGAGCACGAGCAAGGAACTCAGGACAGCGAGGGGTGCACCCACACAATGAGACAATGGGGATGTTCTATAGGGAACTCACCAAGGCCAGCTGGCCTGGGTCTGAAAAAACATGGGATAAAACCGGACTCGCTGAACATAGCAGACATTGAGGACTGCTGAGAAGTCAAGATGAATGGCACTGGGTTTTGATCCTATTGCACATACTGGCTTTGTGGGAGCCTAGGCAGTTTGGATGCTCACCTTACTAGACCTGGAAGGAGGTGGGTGGTCCTTGGACTTCCCACAGGGCAGGAAACCCTGATTGCTCTTTGGGCTGATGAGGGAGGGGGACTTGATCGGGGGAGGGGGAGGGAAATGGGAGGCGGTGGCTGGGAGGAGGCAGAAATCTTTAATAAATAAATAAATTAATTAATTAAAAAAAAAAAACTGGAAACCCTAGACTATCTCCAACCTGTGCTGTGAATCAAACAAGGTCTTGCACATCCTGATCCCCCAGAAGTATTTACTTACAACATACAGATTTAATGCATTAGGAATAGGTATAGTTTAGCATTTTGTTGGCTACAGATATTTTGAAACATGTAGGTTAGAACTTGTCCGGAAAGATACCCCTCACCCCCAATCTTAAAAATAACAAAAAACCTCTTGCAATCAGATTGTCGTTTCCAAATAAAACAAAACCTCCAAAATTCAAATCCCTTATCACTTAGTACTAAAGCTTTAACAGCTTCTACAAATCTTTGTCCAGTTAGGTTAAAGCCTCTATTTCTGATTTGAATTTGTTTGGTAGGTCACTTGAAATCTTAGACTATTAAGGGTAAGAACCATGTAAATCTGTCATCTAATTTTATCAAATAGAAATGAGCTTTTTATATAGTAGGTATTCAAGTCAAATCAGCCAATGGAGTAAAGCCAAGATGAGGTCATACACTTCTATTCCCAATTTGCTTTCAACACTTTGAATATTAAGAAAAGGTATTCCAAAACAAACATTCTGTGGTCTTATTAAGCTGTCTTCAACATTAGTTTATGTTATAAAAATACTTTTGGCAAAGTATAAAAACGGAGTACCTCAGCTTAAAGAAACAACTAAAGTTTAAAGCAGGACTATGTCAACACTTCCCAAAATTAGTATAACTTTCAAAGAAACTGTATCTGATATATTCCTATATCCAAATATTTAAATGAATTTAGATAATAATCTATTGCAAATAGCCAGAAGCATTAATTTCACTTAGGTAAAAGGGAATCTGATGTCTTTATCATGGAAAAACATCTGTTGTATTTCTTCTATTTATCACTCTAGGCATTCTGTTGGTCACTGTTGGCACATATTGCCATCTGGTGGTCATTTCTTGAAGAGGCTCTTCTATTACTGGTCTGTTCAGGGAAAGTTGAAGACCTACATGCATCTCTATCCTTTTGAATTAGATTATGCTTGAGGAATGAAACATGGTTTATATTTTCTTTCCTGTACTGAATACTTGTTAATGCTAAGGTGTGAACACATTCTGGAGTCATGCATGTAAGAAAATGAGAAAGAGCATTTCATTCTTCATTCCTTCTCATTCTCCCACCTCCATTAGCCACACTGCTCAAACCCGAGGAAAAGCTGAATTCTGGTAGGGCTATCTGAAGTCTCTTTCCCATGACTACACAGTTAATGAAAACAGCATTGAATAGACTGAAGGCTGATTATCCATTACTGACTTATCTCTACTACTGAAGTCTAAATTAACAGAAGGGGGTCAATTCACTCCAATGGCCAAATAATTGTATGTTGTCTCATATAATCCTAAAACTAACTCATCAGTGACTGACTGAAGGAGAAAGGAAGAGAAAACTACAGTTTGATTTAAGTTGCTCTATTATTACATGTAAAGTCAGAACCTGCATCTGTTTAAGGTAGAAATAAAAATGATACAGTTTGCAAATATTGCTAATGAAGTTAAATTTAAGAAATTATTTTAGATTTAAGAGTTATTTGAAAAACTTTAAAAAAATAATGCTTAGCAGAAATACTATTAATTAGTCTCTGGAAACCAACTTTATAGTTTAAGTAGAGTTTATTTCTATATATAGTGGCTTTGGCCACTGATCAAAGGTGGATAAATACAATTATATATATATATATGTCAGAAATATATTAGTCTCCCCAAAAGCTGGCTGCTTCCAAACTAGATTTAATATTCTGCATGTTTTCCCTGCGCTGCTTGGTAAACACATTGGCTTCTCCTTTCTGTAGCCGGCGTCGGGCAGCTGACTTCTGCTGCCTTGTCAGCTGACGTTTCACCTTCTGCTTCACCAGCTCCTGGAAAGATTTTATAGTTAGTATCACTAATAACCATTCGGATAAGAAGCAGAAACTCATTAAAGCAAAGATTTACATTGCTAGTATCTTTCCAGTTTACAATGTTGAAGATAAATTTTTACAGTAGATAAACAAGGAGAAGCTGTTGGAAAACTTAAATACAAATTATACAGCCAAAGGGGTCAGTGTAGCATAATAGTTTAAATTACAAATCACCAGAGTGCCACCTAGTGGTCAACATGAGCAGAGGGGAAACCAAGACGAAAACTATTCCTTCTTGGTAAAGGCAGACATGATTTTGTAATTAATGACCACTCACGCGTGCACGCACACACGCACTCACTCACTGGCAGTCTCATGTAGCCTGGTGCCAAGATTGGCCGTAATGGGAATGTAGTCAGATAACCCTGATCTAATCCTCCTGTATTCACCTACAGGTGTTAGCCACACCTGTGATGCTATGGACTGAAACAGGACTGAGGGCAGCAGTCATTCATGGGAAGTCTTCACAGGGTTTCCAGAGGTGCAGAACATCATCTCATACTTAATGACCAAAAATTCAAACCACTCATAGTTAAATGCCGTAAGTACAAATCACGACTGAAGATTTAAAGAAAAATTGAAGATTCAGTTCACAATGATCTTTTCTTTCTCAACAGCCCCAATTCAGAACAATGTACAAATTCTATAAGGTAATTTTGTGTGTGTGTGTGTAAAGAAACACCTGGATACAACATACAATAAATACTACGTGTTAGCAAGGCAATGGTGGTGCACACCTTTAATCCCAGCACTTGGAAGGGGGAGGCATGTGGGAGTTCCAGGACAGTTAGGGCTACACAGAGAAATCCTGCCTCAAAACAAACAAATGAACAGTATAGTTATTTTTGCAATTACATAAAAATGCATAAAAAACACCTTCTCTTTTTGTTGAAAAGTAAAAATATTTTCCTATTAGATACAGCCACATGTGTATCTATTCAAAGGACAGAATTTACAAATGACTAGTGGCTGTGTTAAGAGTTTATGTCTAGTTCTCAAAAGAACCTAGATTTGACTCCCAGCAATGTACAAGTCCAATAAATAGAACAATCAAAGAGGAAAGAGATTTTATGTTTATAATTTCAAGGAATTTAAGCCTTTTTGCCTTTGTACAAATCCCCAAATCATCACCAAGTTCACTGAGGTAACAAATAGTTTGTCATTGTAACAAAATAGAAGGAAAACAGTATGAGAAAAATTTCAAAAGAAGTTAGGTGTACAGCCTGTTATCCTAGCAGTAGAGAGGCAGAGACACGACAATCAAGAGAGAAAGAAAGGGTATGGACTAGACTAAATCTGGGGTGAGGGGAAACAGTGAGCAGCATATATTATATAAAAAAATTATTTTCTGATGGAGGAGGGTTATCTATCTGTTGCTTTCATTCGTTAATTAATAAAGAAAACTGCTTGGCCTGATAGGTCAGAACATAGGTAGGCAGGGAAGACAGAACAGAATGCTGGGAAGAAGGGAAGTGAGGCAGTCGCCATGATTCTCCTCTCCGAGATGGACATAGGCTAATCTTTCCCAGTAAGTCACCACCTCGTGGTGCTACACACATTAATAGAAATGGGTTAATCAAGATGTGAGAGTTAGCCAGTTAGAGGCTAGAGCTAATGGTCCAAGCAGTATTTAAATGAATACAATTTGTGTGTTGTTATTTCGGGTGTAAAGCTAGACGTGCTGCTGGGTGGGACGAAAAGCAGGCCTGCTTGCCTCATCACTACAATTTTCAATTAAAAAAAACCCAAAAAAACCAAAGAGTCTGAGGTCAGCCTGGTCTGCACAGAAATCTTTGTTCATGGAGTTAGGCTGAGGGTCTTACCCTTCCTTAGAACACAGGCTCATATATTACAATTCACAACATTCAAGACAAAAGACTTGAAGACTCTAAAACCACTGGCTACAAGAATCTGGGAAAGAGAAAAGGACCAGAGCAGCTTAATAATGTCTTAAATATGCATAGACAATTGTACCTGAGCCACAGAGAAGGCAATTACATTTCAAGAATTTTACCTTCATTGGTCTAGCAAATTCTAAAGGTTTCTGAAAGGCCCCAGAACTATAATATAAACTACTGTTAATACTTTTATTCTTTTGTGTGTGCATGCATGTACAGTATATATGTGTGTGTATACATACATACACATGTTGTACGAGCTGCAGGCCTGCTTTTCGTCCCGCCCGGCTCCCGCACGGCCATCTTTACACCAGAAATAACAACACACAAATTGTATTCATTTAAACACTGCTTGGCCCATTATATCTAGCCTCTTCTCGGCTAACTCTCGCACCTGGACTAGCCCATTTCTAATAATGTGTGTAGCACCCCTAGGTGCGCTTACTGGGAAGATTCTAGCCTACGTCCATCCTGGGTCGGAGCTTCATCGATGGCGTCTGAGCTCACTTCCTCTTCCTCCCAGCATTCTGTTCTGTTTACTCCTCCCACCTATGTTTTAACCTATGAGGGCCAAGCAGTTTATTTTTTAAACAATGACCTTCCTCCATCATACACACACACATACATCCTTGTTGTGTGTACATGTGCACAGGTATGTATGTGTACATGCTCATGTATGCTGCCTTACTCCATCACTCCCCACCTTATTTTCTGAGATAGGTCATCTCATGAACCCGGAGCTCACCAGCTTGACTAGCTGGCCAGGATTACAGATATAGCGGCTATGCCTGGCTTTTTATGTGGACACTGGGGATACAAACTCATGGAAGCCTCTTCCCAGCTTGAATTTTTACTTTATTCCTGATAGCTCTCATTTAATACTACAATATTTCATTCTATCCAAAACAAAACATTCTAACTCATTAATGACATATCTGAATTTTTAATAACTTTAGAAAAATGAAGTTATTTATCTTTTGAATTCATTTCTATGTAGCCATTTCATCTCATTTCTTCCCTTCTAAATGGTTTCCTTCATTGTTCACTGAGTAAATTATCTCTAAAAAACTAGCTTTACTATCAATTTTACATAAATAGAAGGAAAGAATCCAACACAATTATGACTTTAATATATGAAAAATTTGATATATTACTATTATTTCACTTTCTTAATGTTAGACAGAAAATCATTTTTAGAAAGTGCAATTAAACAGTACTCATCAAAAACACTGCCTAATCCCGAAATAAGGTGGGTGGGTTGTAAATTACACAGTAGTTGCCAAAGAATTGGGAAAGTAAGCAAACTCAACATAGTTTTACTTGAGTCTCAACAGGAGTAATGACTTGTAAACCCCTGCTCTTTCCAAATGTCAGGAATGAATGAATGAAATCCATAATCCTGACCACAGAGAGGGAGAAACAATTCCTCCACAGGCCACTGAAAGGGGTTTGCTTTGTGAGATGTAATAACCTTTAGACTGATTCCTTCTGGGTAAGTCAGAACAAAGGCTGGCTTACATGCCAGAAACCTTAGTTGGAGATAGAATATTTTGCTCATTGTCCTGTTTAGAAAATGTCCCTTTTGTAAACTGTTTGGATACTACTGCCAAATGTCAAAGGAACCAACAAAACTTTGATACCAAAGATATTTAAAATTACCTACTTCCCAGAATGTAAAAAAGTGAGGATAGAACTCCTTTAAATTTCAGCCATATTGCTGTGGCGTTACCATTCTGCAAAATATATAACTTTCTTTGTTAAAAAAAAAAACAAACAAAAAAACCCCAAAAAACAAGGAGGGAAGGAGAAATGGCTCAGCAGTTGAGTGCTGACTGCTCTTCCAGGGACCAGGGTTCAATTCCAAGTACCCACATGGCAGCTACAAACTGTCTTTAACTCCAGGATCTGACACCTTCGTACAGTCATCTGTTCTGATAAAACAGCAATGCAAACAAAAGTAGATGAATTACCACTAAAAAAAAAAACAAACCAGATGAATCACATGGAAAAATACAAAATCCCATCTGGATCTAAAATACTTATGTTGACCTATCCTTGGAAACTGCTTATTCCAGGTAAAAGTGAACCCTTGCCTCTCTCGCTCAACTGCGTGCTGTTAATTTTATAGCATTAACATATGAGATCCAAATATCTAAATGACCTGAGACTTTCACAGTACCTAAGTTCACTACTCTCCCACAGCACTGGCCCAAACAGCTGGTATACGTGTAAAACTTACTGGAGGAATTGTTGAACAGCTTAGGATACTGCCTGTAGATGTAACACTCAGGGTTCTTGTTCTATGCTGAGGAACACTCTTCATGCTATCTTCATCTCTAGAAAAACCAAAATTCAAAAAATACACAATTTATGTTAATTAAATTAAATTGTATATTTTGCAGTGAAGCTTATGATGAAATGCCTCAGAATTATATTTATGAAAGCATAAAGTGAAACTACTTTAACTCAGTCCACTGTATTTGAACGTTCATGAAATGCCTGACAAGTCACCATCAAACTTTCCCAAAGAGAATGTTTCAATAACTGAAATTTATCATTTTCCCACAATTCATTAGTGTTTTTCTCTAAATGATATAAATCTGTTTCTCGCACTCTGAGTCTCTTTCTTGCTACCTTCTGAACAAAAGCAGACATAGTTACAGACAGATATAATATTCCCATTCTTTCTCAGAGACAGGTGGCCTTATTTGTAGCCAAGGCTGATCCTCCTACCTCAGACCTCAAGTAGAAGTACAAGGGTATGTACCACCATGCCCAGCCATAGACAGAAGTACTCTGAAATTGCCCTATAAAGCATAATGAAAAGTATAATCATGGATACATTTATGCCTTTCAATGCGCAATATTTTAATATAAATAATGTATAAGAAAATATGAACTTCTGATAGCAAGTATTTTTCTAGAACATCTATTTTTCAAACTTACATTTATCTTTCTGTATGGTACACGCCACAGCATGTACGTGGAGGTCAGAGAACAATTTGCAGGAGTCAGTTCTCCCCTTCCACCATGTCGGTCCTGGGAATTGAACCTGGGTCATACTTGGCAGGAAGTGACTTTATCTTCTCAGCCACTGTCCTAGCCTAATACACACAATAAGTGTATTAAGAAAGCAGAACAACTTACCGTGTCTAGAAACAGTTCTATTTATTAAGAGAGCTGCATTAATTCTATGAAGTCATTGGTTTTAGTTAAAGACAGAAACCTGTGACATTAGTCAATAGACTATTTGGAATCAGATCAATTGAAGAGACAAATTTGTTTCAATATGAAAAAGCTTTCATTTTACACAGGATGGAACAGTACAATTATGTCATAGCATTTGGTCTTTTTCAAATATGATCCCTCATCAGAGTAAAAGAACATACTGATCTCAAGATTAAAGGCAAAAAGAAAACAAGAATCTCTACCTGAAAGGCCTGAACTCCTTGTTCAATGAAGACAAGGCAATCAGATCAGGGCACTCATCTTCACATTCTTCAGAGTCAGCAAGGCTTTTCCACTGACCTGTCTGGCCATCATGTCTGGTATCATTGTCAGTATGATTGCTCTCCTCAGAAAACCCAGTAACAGAACTGGGGGCAAGAATCTGACTTTTCATTTCTTCTAAAGCTTGATTTAATTCAGTCACTTCAAAACTGGAAACATCAGCACTCTGCTCTGATAAACTGTCTTCCTTTATTTGCTTGAGGTCTCCAGATGAGAAGCAACAGTCGCCACCTGATTCATCTACTGGGTTCAGTTCATTCTCCATTTCTGACGTACAAAGTTTGTGTTTTTCTAATACCTCTTCATCAGAGAACGAGAAGTCAGATTCCTCTTCTGTTTCAGTAATTTTATCATCTGGACCTACTGGATGTAGCAGTTCATCATCTGCTTGCATTTCTTTTGTGTAACCACTGGCGGAGACCTCAACGTCAAGAGAATCCTCCCTCCTAGGGAAAGAAGGTACCAGCAGCGAATAACAAAGAAGATCTCTAAGATGAACAGCACCACTCTAATAAATGATGAATCTTAACAACAAATCTCAAACCAGGAAATATCTTAAAAGTGTATAAAACCAATAGAGAAATATTAACTAAAAAATATACATAATTTGGAAAAAATCCCACAAGGATGGAGGCATGGCTCATCACTTTTCTAGTGGAAGGTGGTTTGGTTCCTAGCACCCACCCAGCTGCAGATCTCATGCTCTCTGGTCTCTGTTGGTACTTGCACTTATGTGCACATATTTGTTGGGTAGCCTGTTGTCAACTTACACCCTATGGAAAGAGGGAACCTCAATTGAGAAAATGTACCCACTACATTGGTATACAAGCAAGCTTGTGCATTTTCTCAATTCATGATTGAAGCGAGAGAGCCCAGCTCACTTAGAATAGTGTCTCCCCAAACTGGGTGGTCCTGGGAGGTTTAAGAAAGTAAACTGAGCAAGCCAATAAGCAATACTCCTCCAGGGCTTCTGCTTCAGTTTCTGTCTCAAGGTCCCTCTGACCTGGATTGCCCTGATGAAGGACTGTAACCTGTGAGTCAAATAAACTCTTTCCTCCCTAAGCTGCTTTTGATCATGGTATTTTATCACAAGTTAAAACCCTAATCAAGAAATGCATATAATTAAAAATAAAAAGTAAAATCTTAAAAAACAAAACACCATTTTCACTAAGATTTGTCACCTGATTTCTTATGAACATTTGATACAACATTCAAAATACAATAAAAAGAGTAGACTTCATAAGAAAATAAATTCAAATCCAAAAAGTTCAACTGTAGCATCTTAATGGACTGACGGCAAGTATTTTCAAATCTTCAAGTTTCATTCATGTACCATAGAGCAGTGAAACTCAACAGCAACTCCGTGTTGTGTGTCTAGACATAATTTCAGACTCTATCAAAGGAGTTCAATCATTATAGGCAGTACAAACCTGATGTCACTAAAGGCTGGGTAGAGTTCACTTTCATAGCCAAAACGTTTCATGAAGAACTCTCTAATGCATTTAACATCTCTGTCAAAATACCTGTAAAAGTAAACATTTGTTTTTAATGCTATCTTTTCTATCTACTGTCTATTTATCTACTTCTGTACAGGACATATAACCTTTCCGTGTTTCTAACTCTGTAGACCAGGGTGGCCTTGAATTCACAAGAGATCGCCTGCCTCTGCCTCTCAAGTGCTGGGATTAAATAACGCACCACCACCACCTAGCTTCTCTGATTTCTTAAAGTCCTGTTTGAATAAATTGGCTCCATGGCTAAGAAAGCTTGATTTGAATGTTAAGTAAAATTCTTCTGTTTTCTTCATTGTAGTTTATATATTAGAGCTTGAACACACAAGATAAGCATAATGAAAAGGTCTAAAATTGAATGTAAATATATTTTTTTCTACCTTAAAATACTGAGTAGTAAAGATTCTCTTATGGGGAAAATTCTAGTGTAGTCAGATATAAAAAACCAAAATTCCATCATTGAAACAATTTACCAATCTAAATAGAAAACTGGAAAATTATGAGTAAAAATGTTCTATGATACACAAAACATACACAACTAGAACCAGTTTTAGCACATACCATTCAGCATTTGGATGGGAAGTGGAAACCATCTGTGGAAAGTCAATCATGGTGATGTGGTCATCTTTATCCAATATGAGATTGAATTCATTGAAATCTCCATGAATCAGCCCATGATTTCCCAGTTTGACTATTAGGTCCATAGCTTCATCATAAACTGATGAAGGGTCTTCAACATGATGTATCTGACACCTAAAAGTAAGGAAATTATAAATAGATTATTTGTACATGTTCATGATTTTAATGAGTATAAAAATGCATTTCACTTCCCAACCTTCCCAGCTTCCTCCTCCTTCTCATCAGATCCGTGTCTCAACCACTGAAAGACCACCCAATGCCACGGTCCTGTCTGTCTGCCACTCCTTTCTCACATCTTCCTTACAGTTCAACTCTTTTTAAATAGGACTCATCCGACCTTCAACAGATTTCCTTCCACCTCATGAAAAAAAAAACAAAAAACAGTTCAAGACAATTTCTTCTATGCTTTTTTTTAGTCATTTCCATTTCTAGTCAGCTGACTTCTTTCCTTGAAATACTTTCTTCACTTAACTGTCAGACAGCATGTCTTTCAGATTTTAGTCCTTATTATCATTAATTTCTCACTTATTCCACATTCAGATTCAATCCCAAAATAACTCATGTTGCTACCTGTAGAATCTGAGCATTTTTCATTTTCTTTATGACTATTATTAAAGATATTATCATTGCCTGGACTGCTATACGTTTCCTAACTTTATTCCCTGACTATTTCTTGGATCTGACTGTTCACATTTCCCTTCCTCCTGCCCACCCCACCTTAGTCACTCTGATTTGTTTTCTCTCCAACCACGGCTATGAACACACAAGGACCAAAGCCCTTCCTTTACCTGGAATATTGCCTTAGCTAGTTTCCTAAGATTCCACCCCGTGAATGACACTTTCCTATCTTATATTAAATAGGAATTTCCTACCTCCAGTCTTCACTGATCTTTATCAATAGAGTTTATTAACACACTAGATATACTATGTATTTCCTTGTTCAGTTTGAGGGCAGGAACTTTTTTTGTTCACTGCTGAACTTGAAAGTATTGGTATATAACATAAATACTGAACAAACTAATTCACAAATAGCAGAGATGATGAACTGAATAAAACTGAGTTTTCAACATATTTTTTGCCTAACTCTTACATTCCAAAAGCTTAGTAAGTTTTACTTAAAAAACATGAACCTTAAATTCATTTATTAGAACCCATGTTTTCAAGCTTAATGAATACTTACAGAGGATAGCCATCAATAAGTTCCATGATCACTGCATGGCGATTATAATCAATTGGTTTGGGAACTGGAAATTTCCTCTCATACAATGCCTAAAATGTAAAAATACAAAAGCTAATAAAATCTGTTTTCTAAAAGAAAAGAAGAATGCATTTTTATACAACAAGGCTTCCCAAAATTTTAGTCAACCTAAGGGTATTTAATGCAGTTTACTTACTGCAAGAATTAGTCATACATAAAAATAAATTTAAATTTCTTTGAATTAACTTTCCCTCTTAAATTGTACAATTACTATATATTCTTTACTGTGATTACCGAAAAAAAAAAGCTATAAAGTCCCTTAGAGCATTTCCTTTCTGCTTTTAAAGTCCCTATCACTTGTTGATGTGTGCTCACACTTTTGCAATAGAAACAAATTTTGATTTTTCTGGCATAAGAAGTCATTCTGAAGGTTAGGCATTTTAGTCTGTAATCACTGATATAGCTCTCCAGAATACATGATGTGATACAGTAAGCAACAAGTATACACAGATGCTACCTTAGACCATTCAGACCTTTCCTCTCTGATCTCTGGAATGCCAGTATTTCTACTATTCCACTAGTGTTCCATCTCCTACCACCATACTTTACCTATGGACCAGTATCAGACCAGATGCTTGTGCAAATACATAATTTTAAAAGTATCTACAGTGATGTAAGTATTTTATTTCATTTTGAACAACTTTTGTATTTTTGTTGCCCAGATTTCAAAGTTCTTTTTAACTGTCTAGTACAAATTCTTCTAGCCAGTACAAAAGTCTAGCCAGGACAGTCACTTCGGAACCACCTATACAGGGCTCCCATCCACTCATATCCTGGCCTGGACTTGATCTTCCGCAAAGTCCTTTCCATAAAGTCACATCCAGCTTTACGAATCCACTCAATTCCCAGTCACTTCTCAGTATCTTTCTCTTCACGTTTACTTTAAAATATAAACTTTTCTTTGTGTCTGTTATTTTCCCAACTTTAAATCAGTCTACACTAACTATTGAGTCCTTTACCCTGTATTACCACAGTACTTAAATTTAAAAGCTTTCTATTCAGCCACTACTTTCTGTGGATAGGAACTGAAATAATTCCCAGAAATTTTTGTTTACTTTATTTTTAAAGAGTTGTACATCAATACAGACCAGTTTTAACAAGTCTCGGCAGCATGAGAATATATTATAACCTAGGTTATATAAACATTTGTCTAGAACAGCAGTTCCCAACCTGTGGATCGTGACCCATTTGGGGGCTGAAGGACCCGTTCACAGAAAGCCAACTAAGACCACTGGAAACACAAATATTTATATTACTATTTATAACAGTAGCAAGATTACACTTATGAAGTAGAAACAAAAATAATTTTTTGGTTGGGGGTCACCACCGCATGAGGAACTGTATTAAAAGGTGGCTGAGAACCACTGGTCTGGAGCTTAGGTTACAGTGCAGCTCTCAAGTCACAGCTTTATCTTAGTCTTTTCCTTTTGGGAAAACATTAATGCATTTAAGAACATCTATGTGCAACCCGGTTCTCTTTCTGTACTTTCAATCTGAATATACTTAAAAAGCATCCATCACTGTTTGGAGGAAATGTCTAATGATTTCGGCCAAGATGCTTCCTTATAGTATAAGAGAGAAAAAAGGTAATCACAGGATCAGAATTGCTTATTTATACTGCCTTAAGAATTCTCCTACCACTATTAACAAATAAAGGATCAGATTATATAAACTATTCTAAGAAATAGGGCTTACAAGCAGCAGCTGCTTTCACACTACAGTAATTCAAAGCAACTAAAAAGATCTCTTTTTTTTTGTTGTTGTTGTTGTTGTATGTGGAAATCAAACTAAAACCTGGGCCATCTGGCCCAGAGGGTAAAGGCATTATATAATAGACCTGCCTTCCATCCCAGAGACTCATGATGGAAGGAAATAAGTGAATCCTACAAGTTATACACACATACATATTAAAATGTAAAATCTAAACTAAAAACAATGAATAAATTCTAACAAATCATACCAGACAGAATAACTTTTCTATTAAACTTGGTTGTTGATAATATTTAAGTATTAAAGATATTTTTAAAAATCTATGTGGCATTTATTTTTAAAGGTAACAGATACCATTTTATTATACAAATATGTAAATTAATATTTTTCTCATTATGTTAAAGAAAAAACTAGTCAACTTATCTGAAACAAAATTTCCAGACACTGCTTTCAATAAAAAACACATTTATATAGTCACACACATAAACTGGAATAACAACAAAATACCTTCATTAAGGAAGCCGTAAGAGGAGGAAGCCACCAGGAAAAGAACAAAATCAACAGGGTTCAAGTGGACTTAGGGACTGAGTGGGGAGTCATTAAGGTCTTTGTAATGGTTGATTATAATGAGGTTAACCTTTTTCACTAAAAAATACCTTCATATAGGCAAATTCCTTCATGGCAGAGAGACGGGATAAATAAAGCCAAGAAACATTATGCCTGTGCTTATGGTAATCACGCTTGTTTTTCAGATTTCTAAAGGAGGTTCTTCCTAGTCTGTGAAGCTTCAGTGCAAACTGCTGCCCTTCTTCATTTGCAACAATGTAAATATCTAGAGCAAAAATTGTAAAAGCATTGTTAGGACACTGTAACTGCAGTGGCTTAAACAGTTTATCTGTCTTCATTGTATCTGCTATCTTTCCTAATATTTCTTGTGTAAAACATAGCAGAGATGTACTTAGCCAAAGGGTACTACTGCTTTCAAAGATGCTCAGTACTTACCTTTATCATTGTGTCAGAACAATCATTCAGTTCAATGAGAGAGCATTTCTGTGAAACTCACTGTGCTAGGGAGCCAACACAGGCCTTGCATACAGAGGCCAGTGCTCTATCCTATGATTACATTCTCAGTCCAAGAAAAGGGATTTAACATCTTCTCTTCCAACACGTTCAATTCAACTGCTTTTATGACCAGTAAGTTAGAATTTAATTCTGCAAGTAAACTGTGATCTTCTTACTAAGTAATTTATCAACTATCAAAGTAAGTTATTTGTAATGCTGACATTTAGAATATTCAAAGTACATTAAGAAATTTTAATAATTTATATTAAAAATAAGCTACCATACCTTATTGACAGAATGTAAACCATTACACATTTCTGAAACTTGGTAATAACAAAATTTATACACTTTCTACCCTGTTATGGACTGAATTGTGTTCCTCAAAATTCCCCCACTGAAGCACTAAACTTTAATGTATCTACCTAAAGAAAGGAACTTCCATTACTACTCATAACTAAGAATAAATGAAACTCAAATCACTACTGCTCAGAAACTGGGATTAAAGGCGTGTGCCACCACCAACCAGCCTAGAATTACTTCTTAATGCTACACCACAACTTAAAGATATAAATACAGAAGGCACACTAATCATAGAGAATCTCATAGGGAACTTTTTTAGTAGGTTTCTTAATAATTATTGATTTCCAAGTTTAATTTTGCTTACCCATAAATTAGATAGAAAGAACTGCAAAGAACAAAACGGTATACAGGAGGCTATAGTTCAAAGACTCATCTTCTGTCTTTATTCTTGTCCCTCACCTCTCACAGAGGAAGGAAATGAATATACAATGGTATTTTAAATTCTTTGGTTCTGCGTTGCTGGGACAAAATGATGTACCTGTGGCACTGATACTTACTATCTTCCATTACTTTCTTTTGAAACGCACTTTTAATTATTACAAATGCATATTTTATCGGATATAAGATAAGAGCAAATACAATATTTACCAAAGATGTAAGCTATTAAAAGAATATTAAGGCCTGAAGTGTAGCTGAGTGGCAAAACATGTGCTAGCATGTATGAACCCTGGCAATTCTTGGTATTACTAAAATGATAGTAATAAATTTATGAAGGTAATTATACCCTACTAAATTACTGTTAACAAATACAACAAACTGGCTTAACGATCAACTTTCTGACTTACTGTTAACTTTGACTATGTAACAAAATGAAAGAATGTTTTCTCAAAGTAAAATAAAAACTTAAGCAAAGACAATGCTTTCAACAATACTATTAGTACATACCTGACTCTTTGCCAACACCCATTTGGTTTCCAACAGACTCGACTACCTGTCTAGAAGACAGTGTTTTCAAAGCTAGGTAATCATAACCAGCATTTGTCAACCGATAGCCCTGGACAGCTGGAAAAAAATTAGTTAAGAACGTCATTTAGTTGTACTGCAGCAACAAGATACATCAACTCAAGTCAAACATTAAAGATCAAAGTCTTAGCAAGAGAAAGATAAATTACCCAAACTTGTAAATTCCCAATTTCTTCTCTACTACAGAACTACTTAAAGTGTGATTCATGTATGGACATCAGTTTAAGGGTCTGCGGAAAGATATGCACATAAACACAAAGGTATTTAAGTTCAGGATATTTTATATTGACCTGACCATGAATTTATGCCTATTTTTGTATATAACCAGTATCCTCTTTTTCCAATAACTCCTTTCTCTTATATTTATAAAAGATCTCTGACAGGTTTTTAAACCTTCAACCCTCATCACAGAAGGCTTGAGAAGAAATGCTCCAGAGACCTGCGAGTGGATGAATTTTCCAAAGGTGATGGTAACTGTATGACTGTCCTCTTTGCTCTGTAGTGTACTCTTGCTACTTTATCTGCCCTCTTTGATTTGAGTGGACTCTGTGATTGTTTTTGACCAATTCAATATGGCAGAAGAACATGTGAGTTCGTGGTTGTCTAATCAAGCAACCTGTACTTCATGTCCTTTGAAGGTTGGCTCTACAGAAAGCCAATTAGCTGAAAACTGACAAAAAAAAAGTAGCATAAAATACTTACTTTTAGTACGTTCCCAAGCTATAAGTTTATGCTTTACTAATTCTCTCAAAACTTTATTACAGCCACCATGTTTTAGACTGGCTATAGAAGCAATCAAACTGCAGGGAACAATTTCATGGTTCTTCATGCCCATTTCAACCTGAAATTAAAGGAATCATTATGATGCCATAAGCAACACAAAGCCTTGCCTACTAAAACCTTGCTAAGATATTAGTCTCTTGAAACCTTCCCAGCTAAGGAGATCTCTAGCCTCAGATGTATAGCCTAACAGGAACAGATAGTGAGAAATGTGCTGTTAAGCAAAATGTAAGCTAAATGTATTAATAGGCATTACCATGGTTACACTGTCACTAGATAGAATGATCTTAGGGGACTGTTGGCCAAACAAAAAGGTTAAGGCACTATATGACTATAATTCTACAATACAGTTATTTTTGTCTCCACCTAAATTCCTTCTTGATAAATACAGTTAATCACTGATGTCTCTTAACTTCAAGAGTAAAAATTGTTAATTCTTGAAAAACACATGGCTGATAATAAAATACTTAACATCTAAACACCTGTCTTAAAAGCCACAGATATTCCAGATATTAAGCATAATTGAGATCATTGAGAGAGCAAGGAAGACAACACTGGCAGCATCCAATCTGAACCTGGAATGTTACGTCCAATACTAGGTAATTCCTTGGGGACCTTAGAAATTATGGAGGAACAATTTGTTCCTCTGAAGTCTCACCATAACTAAGCATTTAAGACTTTTTAACTCATTTTTAAAGTTCTGTTTCTGCTTCTCCAATCTTTTAATACACTTCTTGACAACTTTATTTTTTGTCAGACATTGGGAAATAAGTGAATGTACTGAGAAGAGATGAAAAGTCATTACTTTAAAATACCATTTAAAGAATAAGTCTAAGTTAATTAAGGCAGCTATCGGAGAAAGTGCATGCCAAACTTATTATGGATCTTGCATTTGATAGATTAATTTTTAAATGCTACCTTGACTACAAAGGCTTAAAACAATATATGAACCAGACAACTCACATTACATATCCTATTATGTAACATGGTCCTTCTCCTTACCAAAAGACAGTGACTCCTAAATAAAGACTGACTTATAATCTTAGATGTATGTCCTGATCTCTGTGCAATGAGATTAAAACTACACAATCAAATTTTGTCATTTTCCCAATTAAAACATTCACTGGCTTCCATATGTAATGTTCACTAGGCCTGAAAGGGCAAGTCTACATGATTTGGTTCTCACGTTTTCCATGTACATCTTCAACTATTAGACACAGTCACACTGGCCTTTCCTTTGTTTGAAGATTTTTTCCTTCTCTGGGTTTTTGCTCTTATTTCAACTCTCTCCAAGGACACTTCTCCTGTAGGTAATAGAACCCTCATTTGGGGTTGGCGACAGGACCGCTTGTCTGTTTTGCATTCTATTGAAGACCCTAAATTGTTACCAAAACCGGACAAGTGTGTTTTTCTGAGTGGAGACATTACGTGACTGAGACTATTACTGGGAACCTACCAGGCCTCCCTCAAAGACTCTCTGCCTACTTTGGAGGCCAAGGACCACTGAAGTTTCCCGGGCAGCAGAGACGCGAGAGCCTCTGAAGCAAAACGAGGAGCGGTAAGGAAGGCTTTGCAGTCTTTAGGAAAAGAAACCTTTTCCCACAAAAGCTTAGTTAAAGTCAGACCTTGGACCCCTTTAACCAGATCGCAGACTCGGCCACAACCCACAGACCAGAGCCCTCACGCTCAGATTCCATCCAGCGACTTTAGAGGGGCAGGAAGAGGACGCCGCCGGGATGGATAGGCGAGAAAGGTGTGCTTCTTACCGCGGTCAGAACCCTGAAGTCATCGCGGCTCATGTACCTCAGCTTGGCTACATTCACCTTCCCCATGCTTGCCGAGCTCCCGGACCGACGAGCACCACGAACACGCTAAGCAGCTGGGTAATCTCGCGGGCTTTCCGCGGGCTGCGGACCCGCGCAGGCGCTCTGTATCTGTGGTTCCTGTTAGTAGGTAAGAACTCGTGCTTAACTGGTATTGAAAAATGCTCTATTTTCTGGACTTAGAACAAAAAATCACGTAATAGAGATTATTCAGTATTTTTATGTTTTTTTTTAAAAAACGCGAGCCTAACCTGGCGGGTTGCAACTGTTTCTCATAATATGCCACGTTACTTTTCAGAGCTGCCAGGACCTGAACCGGAAATGGGGCTCCACTTCCGGAAGCAACAGCGCTCAGGTTAGGGGAGGGGCAGATTTTGTCACTTTGGGTCACGCCTGCTTTTAGAGCAGTCACTGCAGGAAAGTCAGGGAGGGAAATGGCCAAGCCGAGGCTCCAGGCCAGCAAAGCCCCTGGAAGGAAGGCGACAAGGCGCCGCCGTTGGCCGCCCGCCGAGGACGACGCCGGCCTCAGCTGCCCCCGCTGGCCAGGGACGCGGGTCTCAGCACTGGTTACCGAAGCTGTTGTCCGTACTTCTCGGTGCCAGCTTCTAATGGAAGCTCGCGCTTTGCTGTTTCTGGGGGTCCGGGAGCAATGGAAAGACTTTATGGGAGACTTGCAGCTCCTCGCTGTGCGCTATGCCTACCTGTCACCGTGGGGCTGTACCCAAGACAAAGGTGTTTATACCGTACCTTCTTCACGACCGCAGCTGCTTAACCGTGTGGCTGTTCAGTATTTGTGTTTCTGACTTCACGAATTTTATTTTAAGCCTGTCAGCAGCAGATCTTTTGGTCTGCTCATAGGTTAAGCTTGGGTTCTACATACTATCGTCTAGGGTTATGATCTGCTTTATCTCCAGTCATTGGTGTGTAATTGGTTTTTCTTTGGGGGGGGTATTATATACCAACTTGACGTTAAGTATTAAGATTTATATACTTTCAAGTTCTTCCCATAACCCTTAAGAACCAACGTATTGCTTTCGTCCTTTTCAAGAGTGGTGCTAGTATGTTGCCCCATCCAGAACGCTAGCTCTTTCCTGGATCAGATGCTAGATCTTAGAGGAAGGCTATGGTGTCCGATGTCTTTACAGCTAAAGTAGTCATGGAATCGAAACAGAAGAACAATCCTCTGGCATCTCTATGCCCCTACCTTTGCGGTCTTTGTACTTGAACACAGGACTCTAATTGGGCTTAACTAATTAAGCCTTAACTAAATACACTTAATGGATTTTTCTTTCTGTGGTAACACTAGAAAATGTAAAAATGCCTGGTGTTGGCAGCGCACGCCTTTAATCCCAGCAATTGGGAGGCAGAGGCAGGAGGATCTCTGTGAGTTTGAGACCAGCCTGGTCTACAGAGCGAGTTCCAGACAGCCAGTGTAAAAACAAAAAGTTTGAAGAAGCTACATTGGCTGTCAGTCTTTCTCTCTCTTTTCAGCATTGCTTCAGAAAGCCACCACCAATTCAGTGGGTTTGGATCCAAGTTCTGGAGTAGCAGGGGGAATCAGACCAGATTTCTCAACTTTTCAGTATTGTTTATTTTTATTTGTAAATTTCCTTTTTTAAAAAATTTTTTGTGTATACAGTATTCTGCCTGCATGTATGCCTGCAGGCCAGAAAAGGGCACCAGGTCTCATTACAGATGGTTGTGAGCCACCATATGATTGCTGGGAATTGAACTTGGTACCTTTGGAAGAGCAGGCTGAGCCATTTCTCCAGCCCTGTATTGTTTATTTTTAAGTAAAATTATCTCAGTAATAATGGTATTTATGAGTAAGGGGTTCAAGTTTAGTCTTCCTCTCATCATATTGACTTAAACCAGTGGTTCTCAACCTTTCTAATGCTATGACCCTTTAATACAGTTCCTCATCATGTGGTGACTCCCAAGCTTCAAAATATTTTTGTTGCTTCTATATAACTGCAATTTTGCTACTATTATAAATTGTAATGTAAATATTGTTTTGAAGATACGGGTTTATCAAAGGGGTCATGACCCACGTGTTGGGAACCACTGACTTAAAAGTGCAGAATGATTTTTGCTCATTCACCATTTATCAAATATGGGTACCAAATTTTTTGCTAGGCCTTGGGGGAATGCAATCATAATCCTTAAAACTTAAGTTTATGGGGAAGGAACTGAGCAAAATTGCTAGATGTGACAGAAAAGCCAAGGACTCAGGATGCTGAATTTCCTTTTCCCAGACTTCTCCACTACAGTCAAGCACACACATACACACTTGCTTCTCATAAAGTGAGGTTCTGGAGTGTCTAAAGTTCCTGGAACTCAATCTGTAGTCCAGGCTGGCCTCAGACTCAGAGATCTACCTGTCTCTGTCTTCCAATGGGACTAAAAGCATACACCACCACTGCCTGGCAAATTCTAACTTTTTTAGTCTGAAGTTCAGTGTATTTAACAATAAACATTATCCTTTTGAATCAGTTTGTAATTTTGTTCAGTTTTTTTTTTGTGTGTACAAGTTCCTTTGCTCAGTCGGGCGGTGGTGGCACACGCCTTTAATCCCAGCACTCGGGAGGCAGAGGCAGGCGGATCTCTGTGAGTTCGAGGCCAGCCTGGTCTAGAAGAGCTAGTTCCAGGACAGGAACCAAAAGCTACGGAGAAACCCTGTCTAGAAAATCCAAAAAAATACAAAAAGCAAGTTCCTTTGCTCACCACTTCTTCCTGTCATCTGTAATGTTCTTTACAACTTTTTCCCCAGTCATAATATAAGTCTTATTTATGATTCGTAAAGTTCTATTGACCACATGAAACATTTATTATTTCTATTTATATTCATTTCCTAGATATGATGTAATAAATAACTATATTTGTGACTCAAAGCAGTAGAAATTGATTTTCCCTTAGTTATGAAAGCCAGAAACAAAATAATTTTTCACTGGGCCAAAATCTAAGTGTTGGTATTAAGTGAAAAATAAACTAGTCTCAGACAAATACCACATATTTTCTCATATATGTAGAGCCTTGATTTAAAATAGTATATGTGTGTGTGTTAATATGTGTTTATGGTTATATGTTGGTCATAAAACTAGAAGGGACTCAGGAGGAGGAAGAAGAGCTAAAGGGGAGTGGAGAATGAGATAGTGCTGGGGTATTTGTAAGAAGAAAGCAGAAGATAGGGCTGACTATGTGAATAAGAATCTACTTTAGCTCACAAGGAGTTCTGAAGAAAGTGGACTTCATATAAAATGTAATATTAAACGTTCAGTAATAAATGGTTAGATAAAATTTAAGTGAGATTCAAGAAAATGGAACAGTGACATAAATTGTCAGTTAACATAAAACAATCATAAATATGTAGTTACTTATTCAGTTGTATTGACTGGTTACAACCTTGTTATAGAGAATTATGTATGAAAAAACACTTAGAGGGGTGATGGTGATGCACGTTAGCACTTGGGAGGGAGGCAGAACCTGGTCTACAGATGGCCAGGGCTATACATAGAAAACCTGTCTTGAGAAACCAAAAAATAAATAAATAAATAAATAAATAAATAAAAGAAAAAGAAAACAAAAATTAAATTGGTCCAAAAATACTCTTAAGTTTCAGATTGCTAAAATGGGTTCTAGTTATATTTAGTAAAAGGCAAACCTCCAAACACTACAATTTCCTCCACAAGCAAGTTTAGAAATACCTCAAAATACCTGCTGGAATTCCTGTAATGATCTACTCTGTCCCTTTAATTGACAAGCCATGTCCACTTCCTCCCCCATCTGTTGAGGCAAGCTGATCTTCAGCTTCCAGCCTGAGCCCATTCCTTTTCCATCTCCCTCTTGAAGAGGCAGCTTCTGTCTCTCCCTTCTTCCCACTTATCCCCTTCCCTCTTCTGTTTCTCCCTCCCTCCCTCCCTCTCTCTCTCTCTCTCTCTCTCTCTCTCTCTCTCTCTCCCTGCTCTTCTCTTTTTCTTTCCTTCCTCTCCAACTTCACTCTGCATGGCATGCCTATCAATGTCTCTGTCTCTCGCCTGCCACGTGGCTCCTCGCCTGGGACCAGCTGCCTTCGGAGACCTGTGGCGTGGTCTCCTGGCATGCCCATACATCTGTCTCTTCTTGTGGGACTGATTGCCCCATGGAGGTCTCTCACCCACCACGCAGCTCCCTGCCTGGGACTCGTGGCCGGCTGCAGCCACTGGAGAATTGGGCTGACCCTGCCTGGGACTGGCTGCTCTTGAGCCCACAGCCCACTGCCTGCTGCCACTTTGGGGACCTGCGACTTGGTCTCATGGTCCACTGCCCACTGCAGCCACTTGGGGATCTGTAGCATTTTACTTAATCCGTTACAACTCCAACATATTCTAGAAAGTTTAGGCATGAGGATGCGCCATGCTAGTTTTGGGAAGCCCTTGTTCCTGAGACAGGTTTGTATGGGCTTCCTTTTTTGAATATGACTGACTGCCCCTTTTCAAGCAGGTTTTCAATGAATACAACTATTGGTTTCCTTCAAATGTTCAGCTTTTAAAAGCTGCTGTTGACAGTCAAAGGACACGTGCAAATGTTGGAATCAGCTTTTTAAAACAGTGAGGGGGTTTCCTCAGTCACTAATACCCTGATCTCCAAACTCATTTCTGAATTTGGGGCATCCTTGCTAAGAATTGAAGGTTGCCATTAATTGATGTGTATTTGTTACTATTAGTTCCTGTTAAGATGATTTGCTTTACAAATATAGCATATGCTTGTATGAAGTAAAAGCTTTCACAATAGAGTTCATCCAAAAATAGCTTGTTGTTGGCCATTCTTAGACTTATTATTATTATTATTATTATTTTTAGTATTTTGAGACAGGGTTTCTCTGTAGCTTTGGAGCCTATCCTGGCACTAGCTTTTGTAGACCAGGCTGGCCTCGAACTCACAGAGATCCGCCTGCCTCTGCCTCCCAAGTGCTGGGATTAAAGGCATGCGCCACCACCGCCCGGCTATTTTTCATTATTTCTAAAAAAATATTAGTGTTGGTACATTCTGTACCTGTTGTCAAAGTCACTGAAACATCAGATTGCAGTGAGTCT